TATCATGATGTTAGCATAGAATGAAAGTTTGACCTCTCTGCCCCCATTTGGATACACTTCATTTCCTGCTCTTGTCTGACTGCTCTGACACGGACTTCTGGCAATATATTGAATAGAAGTGGAGATAGTGGGCAAATTTATCTGGTTCCAGTTCTATGCAGGAATGCTTTCACATTTTCCCTATTCAGTATGATGTTGGCTGTGGGTTTATTGTATATGGCTTTAATAATTTTGAGATATGACTCATCTATGCCTATTTTGTTAAGAGTTTTTATCATAAAAGTGTGATGAATTTTGCCAAATATTTTTTCTGCTTCTATTGAGAGGATCATATGGTCTTTGTTCTTGCTTTTCTTTATATGGCAAATTGCATTTATAAATTTGCATATGTTGAACCATCCTTTCATCTCTGAGATGAATCCCACCTGGTCATGATGAATTATTTTTTTCTTTTTTGATGTGCAGTTGAATTTGGTTTGCTAAGATTTTACAAAGAATTTTTGTATCTATATTCATAAGGGATATTGGTATGTAGTTTTCTTTTTTTGTTGTGCTCTTTCCTGGCTTTGGTATCAAGGTAATATTGGCTTCATAGAATGAGTTGGGGAAGATTTCATTCTTCTCAATGCTGTGGAATAATTTCTGCAGTATAGGTACCAGTTCTTCTTTGTAGGTTTGATAAAATTCAGGTGTGAATCTGTTTGGTCTGTGACATTTTTTATTGCTGCTTCAATTTGTTGCTTGCTATTTGTCTGTTTAGGAATTCTATTTTTTCCTGATTAAGCCTAGGGAGGATGCATGTTTCTAAGAATTTGTCCATTTTCTCAAGTTTTTGGGCATAGAGATTTTTATAGTATTCAAAAGTGATGTTTTGTATTTTCATTATATCAGTTGTTACTTCTCCATTTTCATTTCTAATTGAGCTTATTAAAGTCTTTCCTTTCTGTTTCTGGTCAATCTAGAAATAGGATGTCAATTTTGTTTTTATTTTCAAAGAATCAACTTTTTTATTTCATGCATCTTCTGTATATTTCTTTTGTTCTTGATTTCATTTAGTTCTGCTCTGATCTTGGTTATTTCTTTTCTTCCACTGGGTTTAGGTTAGGTTTTTTCTTCCTTTCCCAGTTCCTTGAGAAGGTTCATTAGTTTGTTGATTTGTTAACTTTCTCTTTTGGATGTGGGCATGTAAGGCTATGAGTTTTCTTATCTGTAATGCTTTTGCTATATCCCACAGATTTTGATAACTTGTGTCCCTGTTTTATTTTATTTCAAAGAATTTCTTGACTTTATCTGGATCTCCTCCTGGTCATTCTGCAATAGATTCTTTAATTTCCATGACTTTGTGTAGAGGTGTTTCTGTTGGAATTGATCTCTAATTTTATTCCACTGTGGTCTGAGAAGATAGATGGCATAATTCAGTTTATTAAAAGTTTTTGAGATCTCTTTTGTGGCCTAAGATGTGATCAATGTTAGAGAGGGTTCCATGAGCTGATGAGAAGAACGTATATTCAGTGTTGTTTGGGTGGAATGTTCTGTAGATGTCTATTAGGCCCATTTGTTCTAGAATTTTGTTTCACTCCATTCTTCTTTGCTAATTTTCTGCTTGGAGAATCACTCTAGTTCTGTCAATGGGGTGTTGAAAAGCCCAGCTATTATGGCATTGCTATTAATCATGTTATTTAGATTAATAAAGGTTTTCTTTATTTACTTGGGTGCTCCTCTGTTGGGTGCATAAATATTTGGGATTGTTAAGTCTTCTTGTTGGATTTTTCCTCCCACAATATATAGTGACCATGACCTTCTTTCTTTCTTTTTATAATTTTTTTTTGTCTTGAATTGTTTTATATGCTAAAAGTATAGCTATCCCCCCCCCCCACTTTTTGGGTTTCAATTTGTATAGAATATCTTTTTCAATCCTTTTATTTTCAAAATATGTGTGTCTTTATAGGTGAAATGGATGTTCAAGAAATTATTCCCATGACCTTTGCCATTTGGAAGGGAATCTGGGAATATAGTGCTTATCCTGAGTCTCCTCCCTCCTCTTCCTCAAGAACTCCTTCTTCCACATCCTCTCCTCCTTATAATTTAACTCAATTCCTGTATTAGTTAGGGATCTCCAGAGGTACAGAACCAATAGGATAGATGGATAGATGATGGATATATGATAGATAGACAGATGTGAAGGGACTTACTAAAGGAATTGACTTATGTAATTATGGATGCTGACATCATAAGACAAGCTCTCTATAAACTGGAGACCCTGGGAGTCAGGTTGCCAGGATCAGTTTAAATCTCAAAACCTCATATCTAGGAAAGCTGGAGGCCTGAGAACCCTGGATGTAGGTGGCAGTGTCCTCTGAGGCAAGTCTTAGAGTCCCAAGCCTAGAGAGTGTGGAGTTCTGATGTCTGAAGGCAGGAGGAGGAGAGTGTCCTAGCACCAGAAAAGAGTAAGGAAGAAAATCCATTTCTCTCCTTTTTTGTTTTATCTGGGCTCCAAGCATATTGGATGATGCCTACTCATATTGAGGAGGTATCTTTCCCACTCTATCCAATGATTCACATGCAAATCCCTCTACAGACACACTTATAGACACACCCAGAAATAATGCTTTACCAGTTCTCTAGGTATTTCTTAATCCAATCAAGTTGACACCTAAAATTAACCATCACACTTCCTTTCCATACACCTGATGTCTACTCCTCCCCACCACCTTCTTCTATTTCTCTTCACCAAATCCCTCCAGTTTGCTCAGCCACCTGTCTTCCTTAAATAGTGAGTCTAAGTAATGTTGACCAAGAAGAAGACATAACTGAGCACAGTGGATTTAAGAATATGGATTTTAAAGTTAAACAATGAACATAACAAATCAATTATCAACCAGAATTTAATTCTCTAATCTTTGCTTTGTCATAACTTTTTAAATATATAACTATATAATAAAATCTATGGTGATTCACTTATCTAGTGTATATTTTACCATATAGCAATTTTATGAAATTATAAAAAGCTTTATATTTAATATTTACTTCTATATACATATAATCCTTGATCAGGTGATTATTCCTGATTTGCCATAAGTAGTTATATGTCTTAGCTAAATATAAGGCCAAGATATAATATTATTCTCATTGCAACATTAATATTTCTGATGGCAATTTGGAGATACTGAATTTGACAGCCTCGGGCAGATTTTTGCCCATGGTCAAAAAGATTCAGCCAAAGTATCTGTTGCCATGGTATTTCACTGTAGGGTATCCTGATATACTGTCTATTTTATTATTCTTGTGGAAGCTAAGTTACTTTTCAAAAAATGAAAAACATTTTGAAGGACCTTGCCTTTGAAAGAAAATAAAAAATAGGTATAGTCAGTTGAAATGACTTTTAAAATACTGAGCTACCAAGATCTTCTTGTCAAAGTGCTACACTCTCTCTCTCTCTCTCTCTCTCTCTCTCTCTCTCTCTCTCTCTCTCACACATACACACAAATACCCCTAAGAAATAAAAATGATATATATTTTGATGATTTTATTTCTTTTTAAATAGCACCCTTTGTCTTTTTTAGAAATTAAAATTGCTTGTTAAATTGCAGACTGTATGTACATATAGATGAAATATTGTTGATACTACACATCCCATTATATATTACAGGTTAGTGAAACAATGAAAACCTTTAAGTAAAATTTATATTGAAATATCATACCATAATAGTACAATACCTATAATAATAGTACAATTCAGACAACATTCAAAGGGCAAATGTATCCATAGAATCAATGCTCAGATCAAGAACTAAAATGATATTTGCACTCTTTCAGTGACTATTCCCCAGCAAAAGGAGCCAGAATCTTGCTGTCTACCAATATTGACTGGTTTTGCTGAGTTTTTAATATATAAGTAGGATTATAAAATATGTCATCTTTGTGTCTGGCTTATTTATTTCAGCTGTATATTTGTGAAAGTAATCAATGTTTCATGTATGACATTAATTTCTCAATTCTCAAGATATAATATTTTATTATATAAATCAGGGTTTCTTAACCTTATCATTAGTAATATCTTTGATCACATAATTATTTGTTGTGGTGTCTGCTTTATGCATTATAAGATGTTTAACAATGCCCCTGTCTCTACTTCTTAGATGCCTGTGACACTGTTCTCCCCCACCCGCTTATGTTTATGACAATTAAAAACATCTTCCACATTACCAAATGCCCCGTAGAGGGACAAATCACCCTCTGTTGAGAACCATTGGTAGAGATATACCAAAGTATTTATTCAATCACCTGTTGATAGACTTCTAGATAGTTTCTGATTTAGGACTTGTATAAATAGTGATGCTATGAAATTCTTATATTTTTCTTATCCATATACATGTATTTTTTAGAGTATATAACATCAACATTGTTGGGTCATAAGAAATGAGTATTTTCATCTTCAGTAGATAATGCCAAACATTTTTTAGAATGATTATACCAGTTTATAGCCTCTCCAGAAAGTCCTAAGTGCACTATATCCTCACCAACACTTGTTATTTTTTTAACATATTCAGAAATAAGTGTTTAATGCAATCTTGTTATAGTGTTAATTTTCATTTGCCTAATGACTTTAACAATCTTTCATTGTTTATTGACTATTTGAATATTTTCTTTGTTGGTTATTTTGAAATGTTAAATTAAGTTTCTTGCCTATTTTGTCTGTTATCTATTGTGTTACTGATTTACAGGAATGTGTATATATTCTGAATATAAGATTCTTTGTTGGATACAGGCAAATGCTTCATGCTGATAACTAGGGCAGTGTTGGGCTTACTTCATTAGACTTCACTAATGAATGGGATATTAGCCCCTCAACTCTGTGTTGTTTTAACATCTCCATATTCCCATTGTTCTCTCCCCAGGTAGCTTTTCTTCATCATAGCTGTTTTCTTTTCTTGTCCTGCACAACTTCAACATTACCCAATGGCTCAAGGACAAAAGCATGGCACAGAGTTTTGACTTACTTTAATGAGCTTCCTATTTTATGGTTTTCTGTCCCCTCAAGTCCTGGATGTCTCAGTTCTCCAATGGTGTTAAACACCTTTATTCCAGTTGTACGTAGATGGAACATTGTTCTTCTACAAGGTACTCGATCATTGTCTGAAGTGAGATTTTATCAATAAGTAGTTCTACAATAGAGAAAGTGTGAATATGAGACAATAACTGATATTCATAAAAATCCTTTCACATAGTTTCCATAATGACATCCATTTTAATGTCAGAAAAATGAGTGACTGTAACAATTCTCTACTCAATGCTCCGGAGCAAATATTTTGGATTTGGATTTTACTGGTTTTACATTATTTCTTTATGGTTTAATTAATTAATTGATGGCACTGGCTTATTTAATGTATTCGACCTTGATATTCCTTGTAAGCTATATTATTTAAGGTAAACACTGTAAGATGGTGACAAATATTACTGTGACAGCTTTAAAGAAAATATTCCTTTTTTATTCTGGTCTTTTTGGAATTCAAAAAAGAACTAACTACTTGTTCTCTTACAGATATCTGATGCTTTTTGTTAGTCCATTGACTGTCTATCATGGATTATGTTTAAATCAAAATATAAAAATAAATGATAAAAGAGGAGAAAATGCATGAACCTTTAATCTTCCTAATGAGTAGAAGAGCATATCAAGATGTATAAATAGATCATTGTATGACTAATCACATTTTAAAATACTAATAACATTGGAAATAAAATGTTCAATGCAGCTTTGAAATTGTATGTTTACTTTTGTCTTTATCTTTTACTTTCCACATCATTCTTTTAGTCGGGGAAATGACTTTCACTAAGACTAAGGAATCCTTTTCCAATTATATAGGTGTATCTTTGAGAGTGCTTGTAATTATTATTGTTACATTACAATTAAAATGAAATATATTAATATATTATGCTATTAACTAATGTACACTGATATCTATTACTGAAACACAAACTTCATAATAATATGTTACACAGGAATGAAATATTATTGATATCTATTTTATGGATAAGTATGGCTCAGAATTTTAAATAAGATGAAACAGTTAATACATGAAAAGGTAGAACTGAAACAAAAGATTGAGTTATTAAGAGTAAAAAAATACATGAAAAAATTATTGTATAATCAGTATATGGTCAAGAGTACTTACACATGCATTTTTCTTATAAGGTGAAATAATTTATGGATAATTTAAAACATTACTCTAAATTGTGTTAGCATATCAAATGCCCTGTTTTATTCTCCATGCTGGGATGTATAATGCGCTAGGCCAACCAAAGGCTTGTGTCTGGTCTCTTTACTTGCTGGGAGGGAAAAGAGAATGAATCGAAAAGAAAAGCTTAGCTTAGGAAAAACATATTATGCTTTTTTACTGTGTGTTACTGCTGAAAATATGATTAACCAAAAATTTAAAAATTCAGGTAATGACAAAATCAAACATAAAAATGCATATAATGATAAACTCTGATACAAATACTAACAATTTTGCATAAACTTTCAAGTTCCTGCTATATCCAATTTTCTCATTTATTTCAATGTGCTCCAACTCCCCCCTCCCCCCAAAATTATAGCATTTCTGCTTCTTTCTCCTATTCATGGGTATTTGGACCCAGTGCTGGCCCAAATTATGCAAATCAGACTCCATTTTTAAAGAAAATTGTATCTAAGCTGAAAAAAGATTTTTAATGGAGAGTGTGACCACTTGAATTGAAGATCTTGCAATGTTGGTGCTGTAGTGTACATCTCCATCATTTGCATACCATGCACATGTCAGTATGATGTGTGCACCATGCAAATAGTCACAATAATAAACCAGAACACCTGGGACTACTACAAACCATTAGAGGTCCACATTTACTTAAAACTCTTTGTGACTTTCTTTTATTGTTAAGAATCACAGATAATTTCTTCTAATCCAGAGCTGCTTACTAAACTTATTAATAGTTTATAATATGATATAGTAGTTTTCAGAAAGGAGAGTTACCTGGTGATGACTATTTTACTTGTCCTCATCATTTTTTCTGCTAACCAGCAAGTTAAGATTTTATATAGGCAACAGTACAGATTGAGTAGCACAAGTTTCTTTGAGAGTTCAGAATAACAGACTGAACTAAATGCTGATTTTTCACAAATAATTTTGAATTGTGTAGGCATGTTGAAGTCCAGAACTACCTTAACATTTTAAAATCATAAATGACATAAATATCCAACATTAAAATGAAACATGAATAAAAAAACAAGAATATACACCTAAATTTGATTCCAGAAACTAAACAAATATGACCTTAAAAATAGTTAATATCTTGTATGAATCATTCAAAAAAGAGAAAATATTGGACTTTTCTATGATTGAAATAAGATGGTATATCAATTCTGCTTCTTACCGAAAATCTTTTCTGTGAAACATAACCAACATTTATATGTGCAATTCGGTATTGGTATCAAGTGGCCTTAATAGTATTTCCTTATAAGTTCTAAATTTTATTATTCTAATTTCCTCTGTTTTATGTTATCTGTATTGTATGTCCTAGAATCTACAAAAAATTTTATAAAAATAATAAATAAGTCTTAACCATGCATTTGTCTAATTTTCTTATCATGTAATTGCAAGATAATCTCTACCACTCCCCTCTCCTGTTCTTCAAAATGAGAAAGCATAATTTAAGTTTGTTAAGGCTTCAAACAACTGAGAGAAAGCAGAAATCATATCAAGGCAATGAATAAAATTACTTGACACTTCAATGGCCCACCTGGGACAATGTAGATATCTAAGAATGATCTTTGATATAGTATATTAGTTACAAGTGATACAAATGAAATACATTTTCTAGTTTTATAAAAAATTATCCCACAAGAAATAAATGCCATTTAATTTAAATTATGTCATTTCATGAAATCATTTAATCAAATAATGACAAATAATTGGTAGTAAACATAAATCACAAGTATGCTCGGATAGGCACAGACTTCTGTGTTCTTTGAGACTCTTGCCTCCAGTTATTCCACCACCCTTAGAAAATATTCATTCACCTTTATTGTCTTAGTCTGTAAAGCATATTGCTTCATTGGATATAAGATTATTCATCTTTTCAACTTTAGCTGTGAATCTGGTTAATTAACAATCTCAGTTCAAATATGTATATGTAGCACATAAACAGCTTGAGAGATGATGGTTAGGTGGGAAGATGGACAGATAATAATTAGACAGAAAGACATGTTCTTTATATGTTTGTTATATATAAATGTTTGTTATATATAAATCACAAAAAAGAAAAATTTGGTTAAATTTTAATACATTTTTTGACATTTAGAATTTATTTTTTGGAAGATGGTTTTGTGGGATACAAATTTCACTTTAAATTTGTTTTCACTTTAACAATGAAAAATAACAAAAAAGATGCACTTATGGTTAAAATATTTGATGTGACCTCTATAGTTGAAAATAGCAAAATGATGCTAAGAAAAATATTGTTTATTATTTATTTATAAATAATAAATACATGTAAGTTTTTATATGCAGAAGAAATAACATAAATGCATGGTCCTAAAAAGCATAAATCTTTTTAGGATGGATACATGTACATATGTACATATCCATGGATATATGGATGGATACATGTACATGGAGGGATACATGTACAAAAATGGATACATGTACATATCCATTTTTGAGTTTTAATAACTTTTTATTTCTAAAACTTGAAATATCTTTTGAAAAAAGCAAATACACTACCCTTAAAATGTTTTAAATGATTATGTGGTAGACTTTTATGCAACCCTTAAACATGTTGGTTATGCAATTATGTAAAGATCTAAAAAATGTTAATGAAATTTAGGTTAAGTGAAATAAAAATATATATATTATGTTTGCACACAGCATGCTAATTCTAGCCTTCATTTCTTTGCTTTTGATTTCATTACACTGGAATCTTGCAACTGACACTACTTTCAGCCTAGATAATTTCCACACACACTTTAAAACTTATTTCAAGAATCAATCACTCTTTCTGAAATTCTTATCCATTTCTATTACTATAATACCTGGTGAAGAATTTATTATTATACTTGTCACATTGCATGGTAATTATCTATGTAAAGTCTCCCTTGCTTCCAGGATATTACTTTCATGAAGGTTGTAATTGCCTTTTTTAATATTTGTAACCTTAGTACGTAACACAATACCTGACATGATCCAAGCATCTGGGAGATAAATCCATTAAATAAACCACAGTTTTACCAGTGCTGACCTCTGCAAGAACCACACTTCTGGCAAGCAATGGTACTACTGCTACTGCTCTTCCAAGTGATGTTAGAATACAGAGAGAAGAAACAGGAGATTACTAACCTACCCCCAGCTTCATCATCAGGTCATTCCCAGAAAAGTTCTTTTGAAAACTTTATAGTTAGTCAAACCCACAGTGTATCACACCCCTACAATTTTGTCATGACCCAGATGCAAGATAAAAATAGAAACCAACGATTAAAAAAGATTACTTGAAAAGATTAATGAAGTGATAAACATGTATCCATACACATTTTTTAAAATTTGTTCATAATAGACTTATTTATAAGAGTCAAAATTAGAAATAACCCAAATGTTCATTAATGGAAGAATAAATGAATAAATTGTATTATATTCATAAAAGGAAAATGATATATAAGATAGATTGAAAGGAACAGACCACAAACATGCAAAAAATGGATATTCAAAACATAATACTGACAAAGAAACTGACAAAAAAGTACAACTTGTATGACTATATTTTTATAAAAATCCAGACAAAAAGAAATCCTTCTATGTGAAATAAATCAGAATATTGACAGCCTCCTGGGTTAGAGACAAGAATTGCTTGGAAACGGGACTAATGAGCTTCCTGAAGTAATGAAAATGTTCTGTATTTTGAATGATTTGTGGGATACATATACATTTGTCATAACTCATCAATTTTCTGTGACTTTACTATCTACACAATGCATTGTATGTAAATTATATCTAAATTCAAAAAATGAAAATAAAATCCAAGTGTACTTGATATAGAGAACTTGGAATGTTTATTCTAAGATTTATATGGAAATGTAAAAGATCTAGAATACCAAAACAATATTAAAAATGAACTTGTAGGACTTACACATGTGATTTTT